CACAAGGATGTGCAAAACTTGTTTGAAATGTTGGCTTGACTTGGTTATATCAGATTCACAAGATATGGACTTTTGGCACAATGACTTGTTTTTGAAGTAAAAGTGAGAAGTGACCATGCTATGGCCTGTACACCCTAGCTCCAAGCATGCACATAGTTGGTGTACTATGCCTGAGATTAGGGAACTTTGTTTGCAGCAAAAGGCTTGGTCCAATGCTCAAGAGAAACAACTTTGCAAAAGTTATGCTTTATGAAAATGGAAGTGTTATCTTTATGCCCAAAATGGAATTATTCATTGTGCCAAGCTCCATTGATCAGAATAATACCAATGTCCAATGTATTTGCATTCAATTTTTGAGTGTAAATTGGTTTAGTGACCTGTAATTAAGTACAAAGCTATTTTGGTCAGATTTTGCAACTTGTATGAACATGTATTGGCCATGGTTACAAAGTGAGTTTTTGCCAACTTTAAGCATTTGATTCTCCCTAACCACAAAGGTGTTTGAGGAGTTTCCTTGACAATTTGGAAATCTTGCAACATGTACTAAAATCCATATTTGAAATGCAACTTGAGACTCCAAGTGGAACTATGAGAAAAATGGCCAAGAAGATGGGTCAAAATCCTGCCTAAACTATGGCAAAATTTCTCTAAGTTAAAAGTTTTAAGGACCCTTATTCCAAAAATCATAACTTGAGATCCATGCTTCTTTTGGGAAAACTTTGTGAATAAAAGTTGTAGAATTTTTGGAGGACTACAACTTTCATGTTGTAAGTTTTATTTGAATCCATTTGCATCTTGGTGAAAATGTGGGGCAAAGTTAGGAAAAATTAAGAAAATTTCATAACTTAGAAAATTTAGTTATGAAAATTTTCAATTTCAAACCCTAATTTGCAATTTTGGGTTTCTTGATGAACAAGTTTCATAATTTGGCATATCTTGATGAAAAATGACCCTTGGCACTTGATTTTGACCAAAAAGTCAAAGTTTAACTTTTTAGTATACAGTCAAATTTTGATCAGTTGACTAAATAATTCATCTGCCAATCCAATGCATTTGAGATCTTTTAAACTTGTTGAATAGGTCAAGATAATGTTATTGAGTCGCTGAGTCCATGGTTGAGCTTAATTTGCCACTGGCTAGGTCAAACAGTCAAAAATTGCCTTTGTACAGTCAAAACCCTAAAAATGACCATTTTGCCCTTTTGGTGATCTGATCAAATTTCTTGTGGATTTGTGGTCCAAACTTGATCAAATGGCTCATATGAGTTCATAATGTTGATGTGGGTCAAAATTCATGAGGTTTGACTGTAAATTGGCCACAGTTGACTTTTTCCCTAATACAACTGATTTCTAGGTCAATTGTCCAATTGACTTGGCAAAATTTTGATTCAAGGCTTGAAACTTGGTATGGGAAAACTTAAGAGTCCAACATGAAGTATGAAAGTCAACTTGGGCATTGAAGGTCCAAAAATCCCTGTGCAAACTCAAACCCTAATTTCAGGTCAACAGTGCAAGGAGATGTCTTAAGCAGAGCAAACCCTAGCTTGGTCTTGAGTTACAAGAGTCTTGTGATGAGAAATGTTGATAAAATGAGAGGGAAAATTTTGGGGTACAACACATAGTAATTTACTTTTCGCAATTTATCGCTTTATATAAATGCTAGTAATTAGGGTTTGTATGAGAAGATAAAATCAACAAGTAGCAAACCCTAATCAAAGAGTAAACAAAGCATGAAAATCAATACACTTGAACACAAGCACCCCTAGGGTAATCCACTTGGTTGCCTTACAAAAATGGTCATATTATACATGTGAGGTATCTTATCAAAAACAAGCAAAAATACAAGATCATAGTCCCTCAATGACGCTATTTATGTTGCCTTTTCAAAATGATCTTAGTCCCTAAAGAAAAATGCTAAGATACCTTGAAACATTGCTAAGCATGGTTATACGATGACCCACGCCCATCCCGTTTACATCCAAAGATAGGGTTACTTACCAAATCAATGGTATGATAACAATGTCAAAGGAAAGAGGAAATGAACATGAAAGACTTTTGAGTAGGTAGAATGTTCCTAGTTTCTTGCTCACTTTCAAACCAAAACATCCTTGCTATTTTCAAAGCAAACACCAACACTTTCAAAAACATCTTTCAAACTTGAAACATTTTCAAAAGATTAACATCTTTGTATACATTCTTATGAACGAGAATCATTACAATGTTTGCCTAAACAATGGCCTCTTTTCAAAAATACTTTCAAAACCACACAAAGCATAATTTCAAACAAAATCAAGTTGATCTAGAAAGTAACTAAGATCCCATGGAAAACCAAGGATGAAAAGGGTGCTAATACCTTCCCTTTTCATAATCTACCCCCGAACTCAAGAAATAATCTCAAAGGTCTTTCCTGTGCTTTTTCACCTTTCCTTTTGGATAAAAGAAAAGTCAGTGGGGACTCTTGCTAACCACAACATTTGCGATAAAACGCAAAACAACCAAGTCGGTGGTTTTAGTCTTTCCATTCAAACCCTAATTACTAGCATTTGTATATAAAGCGATAAATTGTGGAACTTACACTACAAGAAAATTGGCAGATTGCGACAGGTATTTTTGTAGATTACGACGGTTAAAACCGTCGCAATTTGCTTTCCACGACGGTTGCTTTACCGTCGCAGAAGTGTGTGTCCCCAACCTATTTCGCGACGGTTACAAAAACTGTCGTTCAAGTTTACGACGGGTTTGGAGCTGACATAATCAAGTATTGGTGACTGTTTGATACCGTCGTGACTATCTTTTGAGTTTCTTTTAATTATTGATGGCGACGGTTCGATACTGTCGTGAATATCTTTTGAAATTGATTAAATTGTTTATGGCGACGGTTCGATACCGTCATGACTTTTGTTGATTATTTTTAATTGTTGATTACGACGGTTCGGTACTGTCGCCGTGACTTTTGTTTATGTCTTGATTTTTTTTTATTTTTCTATTATATATATTTTTTATTTAAATTATTATCTATGTAAAAAATTTTAAATATAGTTTTTTTTTTGTGTTATTTTTTTCTTTAATATATTTATTTATAGTATTATTTTTTGTTTTATTTTCTATCACTTTGTAATATAGTAAAAATAATTTCAATAAAAAATATTTAACATCAAATAAGCATTATAATATCCAAAAAAAATGTGTGTTCCATAATCATGTAAAAATACATGAGAAACCCAAAATATATCAATTCCTAATCTTATAATAATAAGTATCATTATGCCAAAAATACATGAGAAAGTTCACAATCTAATTATCTCGATCATAGCAAAGTCTAATTTGTCCCCCCTGAAGTTCCATTATCTCCAATACGGTAGCTAGACTCAGATGAACGTCTACCATCAGCGGGTGATTCCAATCCCTAAAAAAAGGTATTAAAATAATAATCTTTAAAATAATACTCATAAAATTTAACTTTAAATGCGTCAAAATAATATACCTGTCTTCCACTAAAATTCTGCATTTGCATTAAGAGTTCAATTTCCTTTGTCCTCGCCTTGTCCCTTTGCGTTAAGAATATGATTGCCCGTGTTAATTCATCAATTTTTGAATTCTTTTCTTTAAGTGCATTAATTTCTTCTTGCATTTCCTTTATTTGTTCACTTTCTGCAGAAGAAGATGTCGATCTAGAAACGATCGACATAGATGTTGTTTGACAACTTCCGCTAAAACAAACAATATACCTTATGAATAAAACAAAAATATTTTAGGATAAAGGACATGAATGACTTCGAACATAGAAAAGTTAGCTTTTTTGCAAACAAAATTACTTCAAACAACATCTACAAACAAAATGACTTCAAACATAGAGCAAACCAGTTATAGATCTACGTATTATGTGTAAAAGTAAATACAAAGGAATTGGTTTGTAACATAACATGTTTGTAACAGGTTTGTAACATCGAAAACATGTTGATGAAGCTCAGAACAAATGTATATGATGACTGATGAACTGGCAGTACCTGTGAATGTAACCAAATATAATGGTAGAACTCCGACGGTGAACTGAAAGTATAGGGCTTTCATCATGTTCTTGACAACTGATTATTTGATTGTCGCCTATTATTAAAAATTGGAAGTGTAATGAGTTCACATATGACATTGGATTTATTGGTACTCAGAAATGGCATAGAAATTACTATGTTGATAGTAAAATAAAAAAATCAAGCAAATATACAACTCTTATCTATAGCAAGGAACTAAAGTAGGGTAAGCTATTGACATACATAATTAGAAAATGATTGCAAAAACCTTTATGAACAGATGATATATGAATTGGGCTTGAGGAATATAGATATTTATTGGCAACACAAACATATACAGTCAAGTTTATCACTATCATCATATATAGAAGCAAAATCATGGCTTCCTCAATTCACATAACCAGATTTTAACAGCTTTACCTTTACCAACAAAGCATCCATCTTCCTTTTATCAATCCTGAGTGGACTTTTCATCTCCATCAACATCTTCTGACCCAATGCTTTAATTGATGATTCCCCTTTTTCACTTCTATGCTTTCCAACCCCACAAACCACAATAATTTCAGCAATAATCTCAAAGTTGGAAGCATTCAACAGTAATCTTCACAAACACTCCACGATTGAATGAAACCGCATGGGTAAATGCAATAATTATAAGAGGAAGTTTTTACTATTAGCCTGTTAAATGAATATAATACATGGTATATCTTGTGTATACCATAGGAGTACTCAAATTATATTGGTCTTGATGAACTTACTTGGCACAGATCGACTAAGATGATTAAAATTACCAGTCTCCAAATTTTGAGATAAATACAGCCTGGCCCGCATAACATATCACAAGAAGCGGATATATCAAGCAAATAAATGTAATCTACAAACAACAGACCCAAGCATGATGCACAAGTTGTTTGTTACTAATAATTTTCAATTACAATCAAATATACAAGAATTGCATATCAAGTTATATGCATTACAATACCTTGATTGATTTCTTAGAAAAATGGCCTAACCCTGCAAACATTGCCTCTGATCCTGCAACATAGCAGAAAAAGTAAACAAATTAATTTCATAACTCAACTATGTAAAAAATTTAAATTATTTATAGATACTTTAACCTTAAATTAATTTCAATTTTTCTAATTTTCTCAAATTTCTCATTTCTCTTTCATAAATGATCAAATTTCTCATTACTCTTTCATTCCATAAGTGAACACTAACTTCATAATATAAAATTATCCACGAAGAATACGTTAAAAACGGAACATACGTGCCACATCAAATCTTTAAGAGACATATATTGTGGTTAAAAGGCTAACGATGTGCACATAAGACTGATTTGTTACCAAAACAAACTTAGAAATTAACTTATAACAAGCATCTAAGTTAAAGGACAGCAAAATGTATTTAGCCAAACATGAAAAGCATCTAAGTTAAAGGACAGCAAAATGTGTTTAGCCAAACATGTATATGATCATAAATTACCTTAACAGTTCCAAACACATTCCATTCAAAATTACTGCCATCTTATTTAACTGTTTTTGGCAAAAGCTGGCTACTTTAACCAGAATTGATTCATGTTCCCCAACAAAAGTGATACATAGCCCAAAAACAAACTACTTACACAGTTTTAAACCCATTCCATCCAAAATTACTTTCATATACTAAAGCGTTGTTTTGGCAACAGGCAAGAAGACCATAATGCTTAATCTTCCCGAACAAAAATCCATACAAAATTAAAAAGCATCAACAAAATTTTATAACAATATTACCCGAGCAACATCCAAAGTGTCAAAACAACCAAAATCTTCATTGTAACAACATTTTACCCATTCATGGATCAACCATCACAACTCACAACCGGAAGTTTGTAATCTTCGATAGCACTACACTTGTTCATATGCAAAGTACTTCATCTTCCAACAATAAGAGGATTCTTGTTCTTGTAAATGTAATAGCTCATACACAATTTCTCTAAAGTTGCAACAGAATGCTGCATAGGATTTAGCTTTATATCCATCATCATTCTCTACCATAATAACAACAAAACATTAAACAGCCTCCTAACAGCAACATTTTCACTTTACAATGTTAATATATCTTCAATTGAAATTAACATGACAACAGATCAAACCTGAAAATCAGCTCCATATTTCTCAACTAGCCGACTAATATAAAGACGCTGAATCGAAGTCAAAGGTTGAGGAAGTGCACTTTTATAAAATTCCAAGTGCCGATTAGATAGTAGCATCCAATATTTACGTATGCCACAAATACTTGCCATCCCAAACCAACAGCTACACCTACAAGAATGCATGCATTTTTATAATTAAGCATTAACCATAATTACTTTTTGAATGAAGTTGATCGGTCTTTTTTACCTGATAGAACAGGTTGAACACTATTGAGAATAATGCTGACTCCCAAGAGAATTGACATATCATTAACAGTTTGAAGAACATGAGTGCTCGAGGTGAAAATATATGCAAACTCTCTTTTGAATATCACTATAAGAATACAAAAGATTAATCCAATCACTGTTGATTGTACGAGTGATACTTGCATTGCGAATTTTGCTGACTTCCATTTTCCTGCTCCAAGTTCGTTCGCCACTCGCACCCTATAATATAATTTGTGTCATCATTTGATAAATTTCACTAGAATAAATTATGTTAAACATTTAATTTTTCACTCTTCGCTAGTAGAATACCTTACACGCCATCAACCAATCACATATGGATAATCCACTATGCTTCAGTATTGTTGTTACTCTAAGAAAATATCAATCTTAAATGTTTTTTTTTCAAACTAAAAAATTATTAATTTTAATATAAAGTGAATGTTTTTCGATTAAAGAGATATATACGTACAGTTGAAAAGTGTTAAATATTAATAATTTATGAAATATTTAAAAAGGATAATGGTAGAAAAAATTTAGTGTTTTCTCCATTTTCTTCTCATACGAGAGGTGAAATGAAGAATCAATTATGTTCTATAATTTTACTTCAATTTCGATGCAAATGATATTGTAAAAATAGCATACCCGGTACCGGCAAAGAAGGCAAATGGAATCATCATTTCCCATCCATTGATAGTCATACTGCAAAACCAATTCCAATACTGTAATAACTAATAAATATAAAACTTGTAAATCTCAAATACTTGTTACTCACTAATAACTTACCATACAGACAATGCATCAACAGCAACTGTTGCATTTTCCAACTGACCTGTCATAAGCAACAGTATCCTGTAATACCAATTCTCTAAACAAAGCATCACCCCTGAAGCTAATGACAGTTTGAAGAATTCCCAAAGGCCAGAAAATGCTTCCATTGAAAAACCATTCCAAGTCAAAGGACAACCCCCACAAACTGTGTACCCAAACATCCCAATTACCAATACCCACCATGAAACATCCAAAGCTATTGCAGCACCAATAAGCCCAAAATCCCAAACATAAACCAACAACCAACTCAATACAACATTCACCACTAAACCCAAAAGAGAAACCCATGCAATCACACTTGTTTTCAGCTGGCACTGTAGAAACCTCTGAAGAGGAAACTGAAACGCAAAACTGAAATGCAAAGGTATAAGCCATATAGCTACGATACCACTCGATTCTGCCACCTCATGAGGTTGTCCTATGAGTTTCAGAAATGGAGTAGCAAACACATAAATTCATAAAATTCATATCTACACCACAAATTCATAAAATTTACATGCATTTCAAAAAAATATAAACAATTTCTGATACTAAAATACACGAAAATACCGTCTTATTCGAGGTCACTGCCGGAATCGTTGGGGTCATCGGAGACAGAAGGAGGAGCTCGAAGAGAATCGGTGAGGGAGTTAGGGTCATTGAAGACGCCGAAGGAATTGTAGTTTTGTGTGACGCTGCCTTTTTCATCCCATTTAGGGTCTTCTACAAGGGATTGTAACAGTTTGGGAGGAATGGTGAAAGCGGGTTTCAAAACTTTAGGGTTCTTCTTTGGAAGACCCACACGAACCTTAGGTCGAGAATTCTTGTATTTTCTTCGTGAGTAGAAAAAGTGAATGCAGGAGTAGAAAGTGAATTCATGTTTTATGTATTTTAAGAGCTTTTTAACTTTTTTACGGCGACGGGTGTTTTACCGTCGTGCCCATGAGAATTTTTAAAGGTTTTGGGTGCGACGGTTGTTTTACCGTCGTGAAATGAATTTTAGGACGGATAATTTTATCGTCGTGAAAGGTTTAAGGGTGCGACGGGTGCTTTACCATCGTGATATGCCTTTTAGGACGGTTAATTTTACCGTCGTGACTAGTTGTTAGTGAAAAATCAATGTTAAAAGTGTTAAATAGGGGCCGACGGTTGTTTTACCGTCGTAATAATAATATTATGATGGTTAATTATACCATCACAAAATAAATATTAGGGACGGTTGGTGTCAACTGTCGTAAACACTGTCTCTATATGTCAATTACGACAGTTATCACATAACTGTCGCAATTTTTGTGTCGTTAAACACTAATTTTCTTGTAGTGTTAAAATTACTACGCTATTACAATACTTGTGGGAGGGGGGTGTACCAAATTATAAATGGGGACTGTAAGAAAATGAACCTAATTAATCTATTACAACCATATTGAATTGGTATAAATGTATAAGAAATTAAATGAATATAATGTACAAAATGAATAAATGTACAAGAATATAAATGTAAAGTAAATGGATGTTTGTTTAGATTTTTTTGAGAAAAGGGGTTTTGATTTTAAAATTAGTTAACTAAAAGAAAATAATTAATTAGAATAGTAAAAGATAAAACCCTAATTTACTAAAAAAAAGAATTAAACAAACCCTAATCTAATAATTGATTAAAAAGGAAATTAAGTTTATAAGAAGAATATTTTGGGTATTTTTGTCTTAAAAATAAATTTTTAGTATTATAAAATGTTTTTGGTCTTTTTATATATTAAAATAATATATTTGAATGGTGCAAAAGAAATTAACTAAAACCCTAGTTTTTAAATTACAAATTAATTAGTCAAAATAAATAAAGTATGATTAAATAAAAGAAATTTTTTTGTCTAAAAAATAAATAAACTTTATCAAAATATTAATCTAATGTTTTTATATTTTTTCTAATTTTTTAATATTAGGTAAAATATTTAAGAAGATAAATAAATAAAATAAGAAAAAAGAAATAAAAATGGGCCAGGGTGTGTAAGTGAAACAGGGGGTCAGAAAGTAAAAAAAAAACAATAAGGCCCAAGGAGAAAGCCCAGCGCTTGTCCAAAAAAGTCAGAATAGGAAAAATATGAAAACAATCAAAAGGGTACCACTGGGGCTCGAACCCAGGTCCCTCAGGTCAGGGGCGTGCGCTTCTACCACTGGGGTGGCTATACATCCGTTTATATAAATCAAAGCATATATATATATATATATATATATATATATATATATATATATATATATATATATATATATATATATATATATATATATATATATATATATATATATATATATATATATATATATATATATATATATATATATATATATATATATATATATATATATATATATGGCAAACACGTTCCGGAGGCCAACTTCATCTTCAACCTCTAGCCCATCCAGAGCCTCTGTAATTTGTTCAAATCTCAACAATAATGAAAACCGTAAACATGAAACTTGTAGCAAATTTCCTCACGATTTCAGAAATGCAAAGCAAAATAATTATAGATCAAAGATAAGCATGAATTTTAATGGCCCTATTCTAAACCCTAAAAATATCATAAACTTCTATCTTAAAATTCTTTAAGCTCAAGCAAAATTAATGAAAACTATGGACATGGTTAGCTTTGGGGCAATGATATCTACATGTTTCATTCACAAATAATTCATTGATGATGCCCGTATGAAAAGTTCCAAAGTTATAAAACTTACCTTGCAAGAGGGTATCGGGTTTGGAGTTTGAGTAGTTTTCAGTGAGTTCAAACAATTGGGTTAGCTTCCTCAAGTTCCCAGAAAGCTAATGGGATGCTTAGCTTGAGCTGAAAGTTCCTGAGGAGTTCTGGAGAAGTCCAAGTGCAAAGCTCTATTTTTGAAAATAGAGGAAGATGTTAATGGTGTTACAGTCTTGTAACAGGGTGTGGGATGAGTTTTAAATGATGTTTAGAGACTTTAGGAACCAAAAGGCTTGAAAATGCACGAGGGATATAAGAGTTTCAAACTTTTGGTTAGGTTAGGCAACAATGGAGGTATGTGATACAGTTCTGAGCTCTTGGTCTTTTTAGGGGTCAAGCATGCGTGTGATTTGTGGAAAATGGTTTGTGTATCTATAAGCAAAAGGTCTTGAGAGGTTTTGAAAGTCAGAAGTAAAAGTTTTAAGCTAATTGATAGGTTACTTGATTTTCAAGAAAAATGGGAAAACAAGTTTCAATGTGAAGTACAAGCATGGGCTGGGTGATTGTAAGTGTCTAAACCATTTCTATTGTGTTATGAGGCATGTATGATCAGAAGAGAACAAGTGCAAGGCTCAAGAACAAGTTTTGTGCAAAAAGTCACTTTATCAAAATGGAAATGTGCACTTTCTTCCAAAAATGGATATAAAGCATGGCCTTGCATTGAATGCTTGAAAAGAGACCTCTAACAGTTGTGCAAGCCATTAATTATAGAGTGCCTAACAAGTTTGAGGCCTGCAAAGTATAGGTTATGCAGCATTACTTTGAAATTTGAATTTGTTCATCATAAAATGACTTGTAATTTAAGTTATAAAACCCTAACTTCATCTCTTCGATTATCCTTGTAACTACATGAAAAAGTGCCATGAAGTGGGGTCAAAATCCTGACCAAATTAGGGCAAAATTTCACTAAGTGTTTTGTTTCATGACCATGTATTCTTAAAATTATAACTTGAGATCCAAGAACTTTTGGAAGGAGTTGTGTGAAGCAAAGTTGTAGATTTCATGGAGATCTAAAAATTTCATGTTGGAAGTTTCTTTTGAATCATCTTGCATCATGGTGAAAATTTGGCTTAAAGTTATGAAAAAATATGAAGTTTAAACACTTAGAAAAATTTCGAAGTTAGAAAACTTTGACTTTTCAAAATGAAATCTTCACTTTTTGATTTCTTGATGAATAAGTTTAATATTTTGACATGTTTTGATGAATTGTGATCTTTGGCATTTGAATTTGACCAAAAAGTCAAAGTTTGACTTTTCAGTATACAGTTGACTTTTGATCAATTGATTGAAAATTCATTTGTCAATCCATTGGACTTGAGAAATGTTTTGAGCCATGTCATTAGGTCAAAATGATGCAATTGGACTCTTGAGATCATGCCTTAAACCAATTTAGCACTTTCTAGATCAAAAATCAGAAATTGCCATTTCCCCATCAAAACCCTAATTTTAACCATTTTGCCCTTTTGAAGATTTGATCAAATTTCTTAAGGAATTATGGTCCAAACTTGATCAAATGATACATATGAGTTTAAAATTTTTATGTGTATAAAAAATTATGAAGTTTGACTGTAAATTGGCCATAGTTAAGTTTTTCCCCAATACAGTTGATTTTTAGGTCAACTGCTCAATTGACTGAGCAAAAGTGTGATCCAAAGCTTGAAACTTGACATGAGTAATATTGAGGGTCCATAATGATCCATGAAAGTCATATGGAGCATTGGAAGTTCAAATATCCTTGTGCAATCTCAAACCCTAATTTTGGTCATCAGTGCTTAAGGAGGTGTCTTGAGCTGATCAACCCTAGTGCAGACTTGAGCCAAAGGAGATCTTGTGAGCAAACCTTGATAAGTGAGAGTGAAAATTTTGGGGTACAACACTAGTATTGCCTTAAAATCAGTTTAATACTTAATGCATGTTTAGGTAAACAAGAAGAAAAATGAAAGGGATAGCTCTGAAAACATATTAAAAGGGTGGAAACGAAAAGGACAATGGTATGTATATGCTTGAAACGAAAGAAAAAGCTTATTTACATGTTATACAAGATACAAAAAGCTCAAGTTGGGAAAAACTTGCCTTGTTGGAGGCTGGAGCGTATGTTGGACCTTGAAGTGGTTTCCTTGAATCCTATTGGGTTCGAAGGAAGGGACCAGAGGCATTGTTTCTACTGTTTGGCTCGAAGGAGAAAAAATAAATGGAATGTATTTTCTACTGGATTCGAAAGGGAATAAAATGTGAGGATGCTTAAGATTCAAAAGGGGAAAATGTTTGGGATTCTGGGTTTATGTTTCACAAATGTTTAAGTGTTTGAGAACTCGTGGTGTTTGAGAAATTTTTAGATTCGTTCCTCTGGCCCAAAAAATTCCTCTCCAAAACATGTGTTGGGGCCTCTTATTTATAGGAAAGGCTTCCTGAAACTTTTGGAGGGAAAACAAAATGTTTGAACAAATTGAGTAACCTATTCCCTGTAGCTTTCGAGAGATAGTGCCTTGTATGCTATTTTGGTGTAAGAAGGGGGCAGTGTTTCAGAACTGCTGTGCAGCAGTCTTGGCCAGTGTACCATGCCTGAACTTGGCAGCAAGCATCTTTGAATATCATCTTTTTGTCTTGACCCTTCTTCGACCAGACTCTTCTCCAAACAAAAACTATTTGATTTTCCTTTGACAAGTGCCTTTCGATTGAGTCACTTTTGTGTATCCTTCGAAGGAGCCAGAAGTGTGACCCTTGGATGGGTCACCAAAACCTGCCTTAAAGTGGACTTGTAAATCCTTCGAATGGACTATCAAACATATACCTCGAATGGGATGCCCAAAGTTGGATTCGAAAGATGATGATTCGAAAGGGACACGGTTACAAATAAAACCTTGTGAATATGGTTTTGTCCAGTCAAAGGCTTACATGCCCAAAGGTCCAAGTGGTCAAACGAAGGAGTGTACATAGGGAGTCTCTGCTTTTTGACTTCATGCAAGCATGCAAAAGATATTTGTTCAAACCAACATGCCCAAATGAAAGGTGTGACCAGTAGCTTGTATTGAAGGATTCATGTGCCCAAACGAAAGGTGTGACCAGTAAATTATACTGAAGGATTCATGTGCCCAAACGAAGGGTGTGACCAGTAACTTGCGCTGAAGGATTCATGTGTCCAAACTAAGAAAGCATGAAGGGAGTCAAATTCCCAAACGAAGCTTGCAACAACGGAAACACATTCCCAAACAAAAGGTGCGTGTAGGAAGCCAAAATGTCCAGATTCGAAAGAGGCATATAGGAAGCAAAAAGTGAAAATCGAAGGACGCTAAAAGGGAACCTTTTGCCTAGGAATCGAAGGAGGATACAAGAAGCTTTGTGCCTTGTGAATCCAAGCAAATGCCCCGTCGAAGGATGCAAGCCAAGCTTGCATTTAAAGGGGCCAAAAGACCAATCGAAAGAGCTGAATCAAAAAACACTTGCTTTTGTCCAAATTTGTCAATATATTATTTTTATCTGCTTTTCCCCTTTTTGACAGTTTCCTTTAAATCTTGATACTAAAAATCCCAATGTACATGTGCAAGTTTGAACCTTGAGAATCCTTGTAAGAAAATCCTTGAAAAATGAGAGGGAAAATTTTGGGGTACAACAATAACCTATGTAAGGAAAGCAACAGTATTTGATAGATAAAGTTTCAGAATACTTACCGCTGACAAATCATAAAAAATAAAGTTAAAACCTAACTTGTTTCAGAATATATACCACCGGCCACCGTGATCGGCAATACTTCGAGGATGAGTAGCCCAACCTCGTTTCGCTCTTATTTCACAAGGAACAGACTCTTGAAACTAAAACAACTTCTCCGTAGCAATCATCTCTGATGAAGTCTTCGGTAAACTCAAGTGATGTGATAACGTATGAACTTGATTTCCTAGTCCTCCGTTCTGATAAATAGGACAAGATATTATTAGTATCCATAATAAGTAAGAATTGAAACTTACTTGAAATCCAAAACAGGAGAAGAAAACATTCTACGCATACCTGAAAATCAGAAGAAGGGAGGAGGAAGTGAGGGAAGGTTTTGGAAGATGGAAGAGAAAGAGAATAAGAAACCATTATATCGTTAATGTTGGTAATTGTCGTAGAGAATGAAGAGAAAGAGTATGAATCGCTACTGTTTGGAATCAGAAGAAAAAATTTTGGTTGAATAATGTGTATTTGGTTTGCCTCACACACATGAAGCCACGTGTTGTGATTTTGGAATAAAGGGACAAAATAGGATTTTTGGGTAGAATGCCTTTTCTTATATTATAGATTATGATTCATTTCAAAATCCATATATGAAAATAATGTTTGTCTCTAAAAAAAATTTTTATCATCTTATATTTAATAGTTAAAATAATTATAACACAAAAAAATATAACTTTTTTTGACTTTAATGTTTTCATAGTGCTTATCACAAAACAATATTTTTATGTTAATTATTTAACATTAATCGATTAGTTAATTTTGATTTTTTTAATATTTTAAATAAAAACAAAAATAATTATAATAAAATATTCATAATTTATATATATATATATATATATATATATATATATATATATATATATATATATATATATATATATATATATATATATATATATATATATATATATATATATATATATATATATATATATATATATATATATATATATATATATATATATATATATATATATATATATATATATATATATATATATATATATATATATATATATATATCAATAAAAATAAGATCGTTGTACAAAAAATAGTTTTACGGAAACTATCAAAACAAAAAATAGTTTTGAAGGTGCGATGAATCAAGAAAATGCATGATTCAAAGAAGAAAAAAACATGTAGAACATGAATCACAGGAGCTCCGGAGAAAACAATTGGGGTTCATAGAAGAAGAAAAGACTTGCAATTTTTACAAATAGTGGAAACATGGTAAGGAAGATGATGTAACCTTTATATATTGAGGTGGGATAAATAATAAATCAATGGATCCAAATAAAAGAAAAGTACATATGAAAAACAAAGATTGAATTTACCTCAATATTATAACGACAATAGAATACACTTGAGCACCATAGAGGGAAGTGTCACACTCTAATCTAAGAAACTAAGGCCACTTGTAAGAATAATCCTACGAGATGTTTTAATGATAAGCCTAACATTTAATTCGCTTGTTCACAAGGTCATTCATGATGACCCCTAAACGTTTCTTACTTCTCCAAGTGACGGACTAGACACGTGTATTATTAAAATTATAACTTGAGATCCAAGCACTTTTGGAAGTAGTTGTGTGAAGAAAAGTTGTAGATTTCATGGAGATCTACAACTTTCATGTTGGAAGTTTCTTTTGAATCATCTTGCATCATGGTGAAAATTTGGCTTAAAGTTATGAAAAACATGAAGTTTAAACACTTAGAAAAATTTCTAAGTTAGAAAACTTTGACTTTTCAAAATGAAATCTTGACTTTTTGATTTCTTGATGAATAAGTTTCATATTTTGACATGTTTTGATGAATTGTGATCTTTGGAATTTGAATTTGACCAAAAAGTCAAAGTTTGACTTTTCAGTATACAGTTTACTTTTGATCAGTTTATTGAAAATTCATTTGTCAATCTATTGGACTTGAGAAATGTTTTGAGCTATGTCATTATGTCAAAATGATGCAATTGGACTCTTGATATCATGCCTTAAACCAATTGATCACTTGCTAGGTCAAAAATCAGAAATTGCCATTTCCTAGTAAACAATTTTGACCATTTTGCCCTTATGAAGATTTGATCAAATTTCTTGAGGAATTATGGTCCAAACTTGATAAAATGATACATGTGAGTTTAAAATGTTGATGTGGATAAAAAATTATGAAGTTTGACTGTAAATTGGCCATAGTTGACTTTTTCCCCAATATAGTTGATTTTTAGGTCAACTGCTCAATTGACTGAGCAAAAGTGTGATCCAAAGCTTGAAACTTGACATGAGTAATATTGAGGGTCCATGGTAATCCATGAAATTCATATGGGGCATTGGAAGTTCAAATATCCTTGTGCAATCTCAAACCCTAATTTTGGTCATTAGTGCTTAAGGAGGTGTCTTGAGTTGATCAACCCTAGTGCAGTCTTGAGCCAAAGGAGATCTTGTGAGAAAATCTTGATAAGTGAGAGGGCAAATTTTTGGGTACAACAGCTGCCCATGTTCAATCTTCTTAATCCTGAAGAGTTAGATTGGCGATTTTTTCCATTCGTGACTCAAAGGTGGAAGATGATTGGACACTAGAGTGCCCAAAAATTTGCACTCGGTGATGTGATGGTTGATGGTATAGGGAATGGGCTTAAAGATGTCATTTAGAGGGATTATGGAAATTTATCGGAGATGGGCTTGCAGATGCCATCTAGAAATGATTGCTGAATCGTATCTGTAAGCTGATACTGAATGAGTATCAGAATGGCGCCCGTGTCTAGAGCATATCTGAACTGTATCTGAAAGTTGGATTTGAATGAGTATCAGGATTCAATCCGTGTATGGAGTGTATCTAAACTGTATCTGAGAGCTGAATTTGAATGAGTATCAGAATGGCATCCGTGTTTGGAGCGTATCTGAACTATATTTGAAAATTGATTCTGAATGAGTATCAGAATGGCATCCGTGTCTGGAGCATATCTGAACTGTATCTGAAGATTGAATCTGAATGAGTATCAGAATGGCGTCCGTGTCTTGAGTGTATCTGAACTGTATCTGAAGATTGAATCTGAATGAGTATCAGAATGGCATCCGTGTCTAGAGCGTATCTGAACTGTATCTGAGAGCTGAATCTGAATGAGTATTAGAATGGCATCTGTGTCTGGAGTGTATATGAATTGTATCTGAAGATTGAATCTGAATGAATATCATAATGGCGTCTGTATCTGGAGCGTGTCTGAAGATTGAATCTGAATGGATATCAGAATGGCGTCCGTATCAGGAGCGTACCTGAATTGTATCTGAAGATTGAATCTGAATGAGTATCAGAATGGCATTCGTGCCTTGATCGTATTTGAACTGTATCTGAAAAGCCTTTGACCATTATTAATGATAGTTATTGATTAATCTTATCCTGAAAAGGGTAAAGCGTTAGCTAATATGCAAAGTCATGTTGTATGCAATGCATAGTAGATTGTGATACATGCATTCGTGTTATCAATGTTTATGATATATGGATGCGGTGTATGCGTATGTGAGCTAATCTGTTGCACTTCTTGTTGGTTTGGGGAAAATAAATCCCTGACTCCTGCTGAGGATACAGAGTGCAAGTCTTCATGTTTTGAAGTGTTGATGAATTCCCGCTTAGAGAAATAAACTCTATTGTAAGGGGAACGTCGTGTACTGCTTGTGAAATCCTAAGAAATTGGATGACTTCTACTGGGGATTGATAACTGGAAGCCTTGTTCCGCTGGGGATTAAACTGCACACTACGGGGGATTTTATGTAAACAGCTTGGAGAGATTTCCCTATGGCTTAAATCCATCAGTGATTGTCTTTTCTATTTTGTTCATTTGTAAGCAGTAATTATGTTCAAATGCATATGTTCAAAAATGAATCATTGGACGTTTTTGTAAACAAAACACAAAAATAAAGAAAAAACAGATGGTTTTGCACTTTCAAAGGGATATCTTTGTATTGACTTTAGTAAGTATTTTTGTACAATGAGACAAACATTATAGTAAGATAATGTTGTCGTAAAAAATGAAAATTTGATACAAAGAAAAGATAGCTTTGTGAAATAATCCCAAGGGGTTTCCATTCTGCTATAGCCTTCGTGTCTCTGAGCATCTTATCTATTTGTTACCTTGTCCGAAGCTGATTGAATTTATCAGAACTGTCGAGTTTGCAGGTTATCCGTAAGGTGATCCAACGGGACATAGTCATATGCTTTAAATCCCTAAATTTTGCTTGGACTGCCCTTTCGGGTTTTCAGTCCACCGGGATACCCCTTTTTGCCCAAGTCGCCCTTTCTGGTTTTCAACTTGTCGGGTGTACATATTTTTTTGTTTTATCCCTAATTTTTGCCCGAACCTTTTGGGTTTGTCGGGATGCCCTTGTTTTGCCTAGGTGTGTCAACCTAGCGGGTCTCTTATGCGTAGTATCTTTTGACTATGTCTGCGTTCACAGGGTGAGGCAGGTCATCGCCATCCATGGTGGTCAGAATCATTGCTCCACCATAGAATATGTTTTTGATTACAAATGGTCCTTCGTATGTAGGAGTCAATTTTCCCCTGGGATCACCTTGCGGTAGTATGATGCGTTTGATCACCAATCCCTGACTTGATATACTTGGCGTCTGACCTTTTTTTTGAAAGACTTGATCATCCGTTTTTGATACATCTGACCATGACAGACAGCAGTAAGCCTTTTCTCATCAATCAACTTTAGTTGATCAAGTCGAGTCTGGATCCAATCGTCTTCATTCAGCCATGCATCCTTCATAATTCTCAGAGAGGAGATCTAGACCTCAATAGGCAAGATAACCTCCATGTTGTATACCAGAGAGTAGGGTGTTGCCCAAGTTGATGTGCGCGTTGTGGTACGATACCTGTGGAGATCGAATGGTAGCATCTCATGCCAGTCTTTATATGTGACTGTCATTTTTTGTATGATCTTTTTGATGTTCTTATTCACAGCTTTGACAACAGCATTCATATTTGGTCGGTAAGGGGAAGGATTGTGATACTGGATCTTGAATTGCTCGCACAAGGCGGTGATCATAGTATTGTTTAGATTTGTACCATTGTCTGTGATGATCCTCTCTGAGATACCGTACCAACAGATGAGATTTTGTTTAATGAACCGGGCTATAATGTTCTTAGTAACGGAAGCAAAAGAGGCTGCCTCAACCCACTTTGTAAAATAGTCAATGGCCACCAAGATGAAGTGGTGTCCATTAGAGGTTGTTGGTTTGATTTCCCCAATCATATTGATGCCCCACATAGCAAAGGGCCAAGGAGCTGTCAAGATATTCA